CACACACACACACACACACACACACACACACACACACACTGACACATACAGACGTACGGACATCATCGTAAAAATAGTCAGGGAAGCTTCCTGTGACCTTCAAACGTCGAGATCTGATGAAAACTCGATTTTTGTAAAACGGGGTGAAAACAATAACTTTCCGATTTTTGAAAATCTGAGATTTTTAGCGGGAAGTTAAAAATACGTTAGCAACATTCTTAAAAAATGAACAGATTAAAAATTCGTTTTATTTTGATACATATTAATTCATATTAGTTTAAAGAAAATTAAACGATTTCCGTGTTATCTGAGCTATTGCGAAATCAAAAATGCTGACTAGCGCGTAAACAACAAATAAACTTTTTTTTCTCCAGTATTTTGTGGTAAGTTTTGACAACTCAAACATACTTTGATGAATACAGAAGTAAACATGCGGTTAGCAAAAATAAATAATTTCATTTATAGTTAGCTTGTTTATGCTTAGTAGCTTACGTTGATTGAAGCTAATCTTATTTATTCTTGTTATGTAAATTTTTTTAATATTTTCAGTTCAAAAAATATTTTAATATAAAATAGAAAGGCCATTTGGCAGCCGAAATGGAAGTATATTTCATAGTAAAAACTGTTGAAACAAACCAAAATGTCGGTAAAAATTTTTGCGGCTACGAAAAAAAATACTTAAAAAGAGCCAAATTTACGCAACATTAGTAAAAAAAAAATAGAGACATTTAATCAAACAAAAGTTTTAAAAATTCAGTAATATCGAAAAAAAACCAATACAACAGCAAATTTGATAAAAAGATAGCAGATTTTAATGTAATTTTTATTTGACATATACAACAAAATATGAAAATTAAAGCTTATTTAAGGGGGTATTCTGGTCTAGAAATTTGAAAAATTCGAATTTTTTTTTTGCATATTTCCAAAGTTTAGACCCTTAAAAATATGTCCTTAAGTGGATTTTTCAAAATTCGAATTATTTTCGGAGATACAGTTGATTTTGTGACGCAGCTGCTTCTGCTTTTGCTTCTTCAATAGAAGGCAGAACAGCTTGATTAGCAGAAAGAACTTCGCAAAACATCGAGTAGGAAGTAGAAGAACTCCCAATTTATGTATCTGGGATTCGCGATTAATCCAAAGTGAATATTAAATATTATTATGAGTTATTTTACTGAAATTGTTTCTCAAACTTTAAACGCGATTTTCTCGAAACTACTTTTTTTAAAGTGGTTGACATGATATATTAAGTTCTACACACCACCGATTCCTTTGAAATTTAGTGGGAATTTGCTTTATATATTTCTCTATCGCGTCTGCTATGGATTTCAAAAAATTTTAATTTGGAGTATTTTTAAACAATTCGAAAAGGTCAAAAAAAGGGGTAAAAAAAATTGATGTTTTATGTCGACGTCATTTTGTGAATTTTTTTTTTTTTGGCTAAAATCAATGCGATAGCGACATCTTTACAAATTGAGAATTTTTCAATTTTTTTTGTTTCATATCACTACAACGGCTGGAATCATGTCAACCAGAGTGCACCATTTTTTTTGTAGCCCCCACTTCACCGGCCTGTAATTTGTCAAATTTATCATTTTTTTTTTTCAATTTTTTTTTTTATATTCTTGAAATGTCAATAAACATCATATAAAAAAACGGATAGTAAAAATGTTTTTCATTTTTTTTTTTATGTTAGTTTGAAAAATGCCTAAAATTTAGGCTTCTAGACCAGAATACCCCCTTAAAGAGCTTTTAGGTACATTTTACAGAAATTCAGTACACTGTCGCATTCAAAAGCTATTCGATAAATAAACTGTAAAAAATTGTATTTTTAGGATTTTGAAAATCTGAAAATCCTGTAATTTGAAAAACTATATCATCGATTAAGCTCATATTTGAACTTGACCTTTGTATTTATCAGTAGAATAAATATACTGAATTTCATAAAGATTCGTTGCGAATTGTAGACACCATCGTCGTGAAAAGCCGCGTTCTATATAAATATATAAATACATACATAAACTTTTGAACCATATATATTTTCTGACTCAGCTCGTCGAGTCAAGTCGGAATATAGCAAAATTTTTTAAAAGTTGCGTCATGAGGACCAATGCAATAGTTAGATTTCTATGAAATCTACTAAAAATATCATTCTAAAATCAGTTAACAAAATTGAATCTTTGTTAGATCCAATAACAAAAATTACATTGATAAAAAAATTTACATTATTCAGAAGAAGAAATAATGTATCCAGAAAAATATTTTTAAAACTTCTTAATTGAAGAATTTTTGATTTTTTTGTTCGATTCTGCAATGCAATAAAATTCGTAAAAATAATTTTCTGATTCTAAAATTTTATTCCATTTAAATCAAGTCAATTTTTTTAACTGTAATCTAGTGTAGTTCTTCATTTGTTATTGATTTCCACGATGCTCAGCATCAACAGCACGAAATTAGCAGTATGTAAAATAACAACGCGACAAATCAATTACGTGATTTAAATTACAACCTGTCAACGTGTCTTACACTTTTCGTGGTTTAGGATTAGGTAAAAGCCAATAGGTTAAAAAAAAGTACCGTGTAGGTGTAGACTACATAAATTATAGTACTCGCGATCTTATTACTTTTGATGGCTAAAAAAATATCCTATTTTGATCATAATAGTGTCGGGTTTAAAGTTTTTGAGTGCTATGATCTGGATAATTATGACCAGACACCAAAAAGCTCGCGGGTCCAGAAGAAATTGTTTGCTGACTCCAATGATACGGTCTTGCAAGAAGTAAGTAATTAATGAAAATTAATTTAGCAGATATTTATTAAATTTTAGTAATTTTTTTAACAATCAAGTTACGGCAATAAAAAAAAAATTGACATGTAGAAATTGAAAAAAATAAAAAATTCAATTTTTTAAAAATTAATTTCCGAAACAAATTTGTTTGTTAAAAAAAATTAAAAAATTATTAAATGACTGCTAACTTTAATGTCATTAAAGTTAGCCGACGTTCTAAATTTTTTGATTTTTTTTTAATAATCAAATTAGAACAAAAAAATTTTTTTTAAAATTGCACTTACAGTTTTTGAAGTTTTTTAGACGTGCAATTTTTTTTTTTAATTTTTTCAATAAAAAAAAATTATAAAAATTTTTAAATGTCGGCTAACTTTATTTTCATCTAACTTTAATGTCATAAGTAATTAATTAATATTAACTAATGTACTAAAAAAATAATAATAAATTTTTCAATTTAGGTATCCTGGAGTGAAGCGCGTTTTACAAACCGTACGTTTCATATAAATATTGATGTCAATAGTACTAAAACCCCTCCGATGATTAAGACGCCTTTTCAGCCGTTGGCTCCGACAAAACCGCGGCGATTCACTGATAAGACAGAGTTGAAGCCCAAAAAATTGGTCTTCAAAGATGTCGAAGAATCTGAGTCAGACATGGTAGACCTGTCCGTGATTTATGAGGCTAAAACTGGCGAAACAGTTCTTCATGACCGGCAATCATCTTCTTTGAAACAACCAACAGCAGCAATTAATAAAAATGATTTGCGCATTAAAGTTAATCGGAGGAATATAAATGACAACAAGGAAAACAATATGCAATACCATTACGCTTATTTTGACGACAAAGATTTAAGTGGAAACAATAAATGTGCAGTTAAAAAAGGAGCCTTGACCCAGAAGAAAAATTCAAATAAGCCTGGAGTCATAAAGCATTTGAGAGTATAATAGAGTTTTGTTTTGTTTTTTTTTTTTTTTCGCGTGATATTCTCTGCTCTTCTCTATCTCTGTTTATTAATTCGTTGTAGTTATGGCTTAATTATTGGAATACAGTTTCAAAACAATTAATTAATTCTCGTGTAATAATTTGTTGATGTAGTAATACGTGACAAGTAGGTATTGAATTTCTACTGGACTTTAATCGGAAAATAAATACTATTCCCAGATAAAATCATTTGTTTCATTATGTTATGATTGTTTTTATTTTTTTGTTGTACTCATGTAACCTAATTACGTGTTATTGCTATGCGTTGGTAAGATAAAAATAGCCTACAAAAAAACTATTACAATAAAAAACATTGATTAAAAAAGTTCAATACGTTGATGGCTTCGAGCGCCGATCGGTAAGGGCTCTTTCTTCTTTTGATCATTTATTTACTGTCAGCATAATTAATTTCTTCTTTATCTGTACGGATGTTTCAATTGTTGGCAAGACAGTAATTCGTTATGGTAAAAATTTGATGGTAAGAAAAATTTCTACTTAAATTTAATTAATTATTTTTTATTGTATTGAATTCATAAGATTTTAGAAATTTACTTTTAAAATAAAAAAATATACTTTGTTATTATAAGATACTACGCTATTAATGAAGTATAATTAAAAGAATACAAAAGTTTTGTAAAGAATCTTTATTATGTGGGATAAGTAATAACTTAGATCGTTAACGATAATTAAGTAAAGATAAAACGTGGGCTTTTTAAAGGAAATTATAAGTTTTTAAATTTGGGAATTGTGATTATGATATCTTTAGAAAAAAAATTATTTGATTGAAAAAATAATGTAATTAAATGGAAAAATTATGAAAAAAAAGTCGCCTTCGTACGAAATTTTCAGTGAAATTTAAAAATTAGAATGAACATAATTTAATGATAACTATAGTATACTATGATTTTTTTTAATTAATAATGGAAAAAATTTTATTTCTAAAAATGATAAGAAACTTTTTTGAAATTAAACGGAAAAAAAAGAGAAAAATTACATTATATAATGTAACGTGACGCTTCAAACACAGAAAAAAAATTAACTTGAATCAAGAAAAAAATTCTTAAACCAAGAAAATATACAGTAAAAAAATTTTCGTCAAATTTAACATAAATTTTTGTGTTACTGACTGTTTTTACACAAACTAATGTTAGTTCTACACACTAGAGTGTAATATCCTACACAAAAATTTTTACATTTTACACAATGACGAAAAATTTTTTACTGTGTAATTTTGAAGAGTTTCAGTGTCTTGAATCAAGACGAAAAATTCTTGAATCAACTAAAATTTACTTAAACCAAGAAGAATTTCTTACACGGAGAAAATTTTATAGTAGAGTTTATTATCTAGTTATGATAAAATCTATTAACTGAATTCGATAGTAGTAAATACTATTTAAATAATTAAGTAAATCATCTGAATTGTAGTATTTACCATCCTGATGGTAGCTATTACTATTATGATGGTAATCAGTAATAATAACTTTTATTATTTTAATTAGTTACTACTACTATCAAAATTGTAATTTCTAATATAACCTGATGGTTGCAGTTACCATCAGTAATAATAATAATAACTACTATCTAAGCTGGTAAAAAATATTTAAAAAATTAAGAATCTGCGTTACTATGGATGCATTTCTGAATAAACTATAAGCAGCTGTAGTGCACAAAAAATCGGGATTAAATTCGGATTCAAATTATATATTTAAATTTTTATTTTTCTAAAACAAGTTTCAACGGCAAATTTTTCAAAAAAATTTGAAATTTCCAAAAAAA